TCTTGTCCAAAGACCTCGATAAATGAGACCTCAAACGATGGCTGTGAGAGTTCACACGCGGGCGTGGATTTCCTCACACCATCCACGCAAAACCCTCATAGCCTCTTCACGAAACAGCATCGAGTAAGCCTGCATCCTGGCACAGGAAATCCAAAGCATCGCTCTCCACTATTACGCGACCGAGCCTACTCTGTCACTGTTGCGCATCTGCAAAACAAAACCACGAGAAGCAGCCTACCCTTCTTCTCCAAGCAGCGTCTCAGCATCGCTCTGCACTTGAAACGGCCAGGAATTAAACGCTCAAATGAGGCAAAAGCCATCCGAACCCTTGGCGTAATCATGGGTGTTTTCTGCATTTGTTGGCTGCCATTCTTCATCGTCGCGGTGAGCTTATCAATCCACATCACCTTGTCTTTGTTACCTCATAGCATCAAATTAAGTAAACCAATTTTACTTCCATCTTATTGCGCACTTCTCTTTAAAGGGAACTTTAAAACTCCCAAATTGATTGCTGTCGAAAGCCTTTTGCTAGTTTGTCTTCTTGCCTCCTATGTTAAATACTCCAACGATTGCCATTCTTGGTGTTGACCACAAATTTACTCGGCTGTATTCTAACCATAAACGAATTGGGGAGAAGATTATTTTCCCCTTTATTGAATGCCCACTTGTCAGTCACCAATCCTACCATGCTCCTTTTCTTTCCAACTGTCTGCATCCTCAGCGTAGGGGAGTAGGTCCTCCTCCCCACGCACAAAGCAGTGTGCCGTTGCGAATGTCTCCCTTTTAAAGCAAATTTCTTTGACTGTGGATGATGAATTAGGTGTAATGAAAGGCTTCTCAATTTGCCTTCCACCCTTTCCACAACAGCATTTTCGCAGTCTGTTGTTTGTGCATGAGAGGATGCTGATTTAAGGTGCGTACTTTTTGATTCACCGTAGGCCAAAAATGCATACGCATTGTTGATGCAAAGGCAGAGTTAGAATTTAATCCACCTTCGCCACTGCATCACATCCCTCTCACCTCACCTTTTGCCGCCTTGACGACAGTGTGACAGGAGGGAATTGTCATTATACGTCTGCCTCGCTATCTGCTTCTGTTTAGACAAAAGGCGCGTATTCGACTGCGCTTGACGTCGCATCATCTCCTCAGACCAAAAGCTTTAGCAATAATGATATGATGGTGATAACAAAGTCCTGCATTTAACTAATCCGCGCAGCTCATTGTAGACCAGATTTACACAAAATTAAATGCTAAATACGTGAATTTGGAATGCCATTAGCCGTATTCTGTCTCTCCGTTCCTTCGTTTTTTTTTCTTTTTGCGGAAATCGGTAAATGCTTCACCACGATTATCAATTTTTGTGTCTCGTTACGAGTGGAAAGTCAGGCTGTTCACTTTTTTGTGCGTTCGCATGTGCGGAAGCTTCCGCTAGAAAAATGCATTACTTTGCCTACTGCGAATGAACAAAGTGTCCGGATTAATGCATCTGCATTAACCAATTTAATTAATACGAAAAGTTATTTGAGACATAAAGTGAAAGTTTAATGTGATGATAAGTGAAATATGAGGTGATGAAAGAGGATGAGATGAAGTTGCAATTTACTCTTTCCTTTCTTTCACAGCTGGGTCGACCTCTCTACAATTACATACATAACACTGAAAAGGACATTGATCCCCGTCTCAGCTGCTTCTTCCTGTGGCTTGGTAGGTGATACCTCCTTTGAGGTGCTGTTGCCCCCAATTTCAAACAAAACACAACCCATTTGCCATTTTCTAGCTTCTGTTTGCCTCTTGACAATCACTCAGATGCACGTGATTATGACAAAGCTACGATCACAGCTCAGTGACAGGTCAACGTTTATCACGAGGAGAGTGACTGGACTTCCTCGTCGTCTATGATTGAAAGTTTAGTTCGTAGAAAAGCATAAAATCCCGAAATGAATGTTTTTTATTGCCAACGACCATCGGGGCTTAGAATGGAGGACATGTCACCCGGCAGCGGTGATGTAGTAGAATTTCTGACTGGCTTGTCATCAAGACTGAAGTGCACGTAAGCGAGTGTCTTCATTTGTGGGAGTTGACAGAGTGATGAATAAGGAGGTGCCGTCTAGTCTCAATCGACGTCGGTGCTACCTTCCCATCCACAAGAACGGGACTCGAGTTGCTTTCGTTACATACCTAAAAAGTTCATTTAAACGATCACAAGTATTCCAACAAGAGATAAAGTGTGTCATGCGATTGCGCTGTGTTTGTCCACTGTTCACCTCCCTCCCCCCCCAAAAAAAAAAATAATCCCAACACAATAGCAGAAGGCTAATATCAATTGCGCATTTCTAACTTCAGAGCCTCTTAGTCCATTCACGTAAAAGGCAACTCAAAACCATAAAAATATTTTAGCCATGGTGAGTCTTATAAAACGGTGCTTAAAAACGTTGAAAAATTCCTCCCTAATGTGCTCAACTCTTAGGGAATAAAATTGGTGGTTAAAACGCAATCTCTGTAGTTAATTTAACATTCTGTTTTAATTAAGTCCTTGAAATTGTTTGTTTAGTTTACCCACTAATTTAAGTGGTGTAGGTATCATGGTCTTGAAAATGTAAAATAAAATACTTTCAGCTAAGGCAAGTAAATGATTTAAACTCTTTTTCCACGCATCTGTACCACCATTACTACTACTGCCACCACCACCGTCACTTTCACATGACATCCTTGAATGTTAAACATTTTTACCGATTTCCTCACTAATGTGATTTGGTA